AAGAGAGGGATCATCCTTCCGGTGATATACATGTAGTAGAAGAGGTGGAGATCCAGTCAGTGGAGACTGTGGAGACAGAACGATAGTTGACTGAAAGTTACTTGATATTAAAGGGCACTAAATTGATGTTTTCCTTAACTTTTCTGCCCGATGTCTGTCGTTTCAACCTTTGAATCGTGCTTTTTTTTCCTTCCACATTGTCCGTAGAGGAGCGTTTTTCATCTAATTATGTTAACATGGATAGCCCGATTAACTTGATTTTATTTTCTAGACTAGAAGACTTCTATGAAGTGCTTTTTGCGCAGATGTTATACGGTGACAGTACTCTCTCGAAGTATACGGTATTCACATATAGCCTAATATTTAGCCCTGTAAGCCTAGTCTCAAGCTGTTTACAGCACGTATTTTAGGCTTCTTCTTATGTATAGTGTTTGTTTGCACATACTAAATCTCATGCAATGTAACTACCAGCGGATCATCCATACTTTCCAAAAATTATTTGAGGATCATGTCGATGTCGATGGTGGAACTTAATTACTGTTTTTTTTCTTTTGCTCTGCAATCCCAATATATCTTTTTTGGTTTTTTTTGAATGTTCTATTCTATAATTATCATGATCTCATTGCTATTTTGTACCGCTAACAAATTACTGTTAGTAATTTCAATGATAAATATGCGGATACTAAGAAAAGCATATGGACCATAACATGAAGAAGAATAAGAAAGATGCAAATATCAATTTTCTTCGCTAGTCAAAATATTCATATATTCTGCCTTTCTTTTCTTGTAGATTTCATAAACTTAAGGAGCATATCAGTAGGGTTCATGGTTTTGGGCTTGCATTTCGAACTGCGATTGAGCACGCCAGAAACTGCGGCTGGCATTAGCTATCCTTTATAAGAACTGTCAAAGGGCCCAATCGCACTACAGTAGAACTAGGCACACTTAAAGAATTGTTGGACAGCAGGAGATTCTCTGGAAATCGATTATGCTTTGATTAACGATTCCAATTAACTGATT